TGTAGATGAACATGCACTCAACTTTTATGGTGAATGATTTTGATGTGATCCAGCACTAGCTACTGCAGTAGTCAATATATTGCTGGCAACGCTCTTATTTTGTTGGTTAGCAGAAATATTCGACATTTCTTTCTTATCCAAATCGTATAAGAGAATCTTTAATTATTAAGTGCTCTAAATATTTCCATCCGTTTATTGGGTTGAACACTAAACCTTCTTATCCAGAAAAGAAACCCTGAATGACAGTTACTTGGAATTAATGGACACATCACTTCTATATTAGGAAAAAATATATGTTAATTATTAGCGAGACATGTTTTGAATACGAGCGATAGTCTAAACTCGTCTGCAAGTTAAGACCATTTTTCATTAGACTAGACCCATTAGCATGACATATGAGATATTATGGTAATGGTTTTTCCAGCTCCCACTGAAAACTGAAAGAAAGATAAATTTGTGGTCTACAAGGCTACAACAATATTGGCTTTTCTCCACATATATTTTGAGTCACTAATCTAAGAGGAGAAACGTTTGCTGACAATGATTAAATCTTCCATCAAACAAACTAAACCACAATGGAAGCACTTAATAATTCAATTATTTTATGGTTCAAGTCAACTGCAGCTCATTGGATTCAAATGGTCGCCAGAGCACTTCCATTTCATCATAATTTTGCACTACACCAGAGACAATAAACTGATGGGGATTTTAAAACATTTCGGGACAGGCCAAAAGCTTGCGCCAATTCATACGTTTAGTGAAGATTAGTGGGTATTATTAGGGATTTTCATTAAGAACCAATGATGGCGGGAAGGAGATATGATGATAAACTGGTCATGTTCAAAGCACCATGTGTTTCTTTGGCAAAAAAAGAAAAGAAAGAAGAAGCACCATGGCTTTGCTTTATCTCTTCTTTAAGCTCTTTTTGTAGCTGTCCCCATAAGAAAAAGCCATACTTTAGAAAGCAATGCAAGCAAGGAGTTTGACCCAACTTTGTTCAATTTCGTCATTGAGATTCAATTTCAAGCATGTCACCGTCCACCATTCTCTATCAGATTCCTTCCGAAACTAGTTCGATGACGAACATTTCGATATGGTGGTCCTCATGATTTCAAATTGTACACAAAATTTAGTGACGGTCTTTCTTTGCAGAAATAATCATTGTTTCTGCTGAAGGAGCTTGAGCTTTAATGGTAAAAATTCTACTTTCTAGGAATATATTTGATGGTACTTGGAAAATAAGAATGTGGCACATGAAAAATATGCACTACATCTATATACGGCACATGCATTTTTATCAGATTATCAGGCGCTCTGTGATATACAGCACACGTTCATATTGCAGAGTATTTGAGTCCAACTATGACTGTTTTTTCTTTGTATAAATTAACTACAACTACTGCAGAAATTGAAACAGAATCAGCACCAAAAAATTTGGGTTATTTTAAAACGTGATGGAAAGATAATATGTAATCATACTCTGTATCTAACTTCTGTGATTGAGGGAAAGTGGATGCCTTTCTGAGAGGGCTTGGTGTCTCTTCAGGTTAGGAGGTGTGTCAATGTCAAAGGTCATGTATTTATCTTGAACTACTTTAATCTATAGGAACGGAGATTCAAACTCGAGTGATGGTAGCGACAACCAATGAAATACTTTAGCAGCAACATAATTTGATACCAATATAGTTTTAAAACAATGATCCTTGTAGACCTGCTTAAATTCAAGCTTTAACCAGATAGTGGTAAGGCCAGAAAATAATAATAATTTAAAAGAGACGGTGACAGCAATGGATTTTTTCAGACACTTTGTCTCTTTTATTTGGATGTCAAAGATACATATTGTGTCTTTAGACCGAAAAAAGGACACATATTGCCTCTTGATAAAACATATTTTAATTGCTTCTTTTCTTGTTGGACGAATTACTAACAAAAGTAGCATCCTTAATTTAAAGCAATTGGTATTTGGTAGATGACTCATAATCACAGCCTCATTATTTTTTATTTTTAATCTCAGAAAACTTCTAACATACGTTACCCCAAAATACGCCACTACCAACAACAAAAACAAGTGAAAATGACAATGAAACGTGGTTCACACACCGATAGTTTGTCGACATCACAAATATATCAGTAACTTTTTTGGACCTTTCCTCACTGTTTACCCAACTTCCAACAGGCATCAACTACCAAATTACAACTCAAGCTACAAAAATATTTCAATTCATTCATGTCCGATTGTTAACAGTTTGATAACATAACATGTTGTTTGATAACATAAATATTTCAATTCATTCATGTCCGATTGTTAACAGTTTAATAACATAACATGTTGTTTGATAACATAACATGTTGTGTACTGAGATTATAATTCACCAAAATCAAATTTTGTTTAAATACACGTACAAAACATAATCTCAACCCTAATAGCCATTGAAGTAGTGAAAATGGAGCAGCAGCCTCCAGCCCCACCAGCCATTAGCCGCTAAACAAAGAGGTCCTGGTTAAATTTTGGGCTTTTTTGAGGAATTACTTCCGCTTATCCAAAAAGTAATCTGGGAAACTCAAATAAAAAACTTGACCCTTCTGGTCAATAATATCATACTTTTACACCAAGGCCATAGGAAGCTGATAAAAATCTCAGACAATCATCAAATGAATAATAGTAAACCAAGCATTTTGACAGATTATGTTGTCACATTTCAACTTCATTTGAATTCATCTGAATATGTTTGTTTACGCATAGAAAAGAAGTTTAGGTCAAAGAACACGAACATGAACAATTACTACTCAGTTAAGTCAATTTCTTACATGCAAAGTGCAAAATAGACACCAATAATCAGCAAGCTAACTAGTCTTCCACTGAAAGAAACTACCATCTTCCCATTAATGATTACAGCAATTTCATAAATAAAGATAGAATCCACTAAGACAGATTCAAGTGGTATGAAGAAATGGCTGCAGCTGCCCACTAAATCTATTTTGCTTTAGAGTAAAACGTGTGGAGGTCAGAGTCTCAGCAACCATGAAGTTGACTATTTAGGCAAATGTGAATGCGGTAAAGAGCTTATAGTGCTTCTAGATATGATTGCTAAATCTTGCCTAGTTAAATCTGATTTAAGGAGATTTCTGATCATCTAAATTGGAAAAGGAGAGATACCGGCATCACCTTTGGAGTGGATAAAAACCTAATATTCCCAGGAAATATGAATTTTGACTGACTTAGAATGTACAGATCAAGATGGATAAGGATGATATTCCAGATCAAAATAGACGTATCCTGGCTAGACTAGAGTTATCTTAAGTTCAGAGTTTATCTCCTCATCTTCAGCAGGATGTGCAATTCAGTAGGAGCTATGCATCTTATACATAATACAACAACTACCTTTATGCGACTGAGAAGACGGAGAATTTAATCAACTTCAATATAAAATGTGACGTGAGAGCAAAGAAATCCACAGAGAACACCAGCAGGTAACAATATATAGTATATGCACAACACTTCCAAGCTTTATGGCATGCAAGGTAAATGTAACACATAAACTCAAGAATCCGGGAGTCTCAAATGCAAGTGTGATCCAAGAAACCAAAAAGAATGCAATTGTAACGTTATAACGTATTTACAATCACTAGCTTCATAGCCCGGTCTAACTTGGACAATAAACTAAACTTTTACATGCGTTACCATCCCACCAGCATCAACCCTCAAATCTTTGATTCTAAGGATGTCCACTGAGTCAGCGTTTCTGTAGCTACACCATCCATTAAAAACCTACCAGCAATTTCCAAGCCTTCCACTAGAGAACCAACAACAACCGCCCTGCAGATGATCGTTTCAAAATTGGCTCTATCATCTAAAGTAATCAATCAAATCAACACTCGTTCACTACCACACATTCCACTAGACAACCAACAACAACCCCCTGTAGATGATTATTACCAAAATGGCTCTATCATCTAAAGTAATCAATCAAATCAAAATCCACTACATTATCTATAAGGGCAGCTGATAAGTGAAACAGATTAGGGAAAAAGAAATGGGGTGGCCCAAATCATGAGAAGCCTATTCATATGGTGTTAGTGGTCACTGGTCACTGAGATAGCATTTGAGCCAAATATGTGGTTGGAAAAACCACATCTTCATGCTGAACAATATGTTCTTTTATGCATTAAGCCTACCAACAAAAAATCTGAATCCTTTAATTTTGGTATAAAGCTGATGCAAATTAAAGTTTTTTCATGTAAAATGCATCAATCTGTAGCAAAGATATCCGTTGGATTCAGATTCCACAAAAACAAGAAAGAGAACTTGCTAATATGTATCGTCTCTGTGGTTCATCAATCATCATCCCAATCTCGTCATTAACATTTTTCCTCTCAAAAGCACATCAAATAATTATCTTCTTCAAAATCTGAAATTTGAACTGCAGTTGTAAATAAGCTGTTTAATGAGTTTACTGAAAAGCAGTAGAAATAATACAAACATTCATCAAGTAAGTAATAAATATCATCTATATGAGAAATTCATCCTTACTGCTAGAGTGATGCAGGCTTAAACTTAAGGTTCCATTTCTGGCTTAAATTGCAAGTATATTGCACATCACATGATTTCTCATTGTATCATTAAGATTATAGACCCCAAAGATCAACAAAATCATGTGACAAATGTATATAGCAATTAGCACATTTTAATCAATTACTCGATACTATATGTCATATAAACTTTGATGAGAACTACATTTCATTCAACTATTTCAGCACACGATAACTATGAAAGGTAATACATACATTTTTGGGAGCGTGACAAGGATTTCCTGAATCATGAGCCTTCATCAAATACACGAAGACAAACACATGAAGACTTCCTCTGCATAATGTGGCAATTTTCTCCTAGCTTAGCATACTAAAACTGCTTATTCATTGTCATTTAACGAGTTCTTAGGATCGCCCAGTTCATAATCCCTTGATTCTTTGTGAATGGCGTCCAACCTTTGAGCTGATATTCATGGCTGGCCATTATACGCTTGAAGTTCATAACTTCCATCTTGCTGCAAGCTCATATCAAAAACATTAGACTTCGAACTATTCCTTCTATTATGTCGACTTTTGCCACCGCGCATTATGGGACTCTGTACTCTTTGTTTCCTATCAAAACCAATTTGCCCATTATCAAACCCACTTGAAGACTCAGACTTTCTCCTATTCCCCTTCTTCTTCATTCTGCCATTATTCTTCTTCCCAGTTTGATCATTCGTACTCAACGATTCCAAGGAACGTTTCAGATTCAATCCCTCCCCATCTGAACCCTCTATATCCAATGACTCACTTGAACTTCCTACCTTCCCTTTACTCTTAAACCCATTACCCAATTCTTCAACTCCTCCAAAGCCCTCATCTTGAAGCTCCAAATCCTCCAAATCCTCAGGCCCAGAAATTCTTTTATACGGTCTCACACTATGAACAACCCCTTTGGGGAAAAACCTCGCAGACGGCAAGTCATCCATGGTGTGAAACAACTGAGGGCCGTCCCTCTCGGTCCACATATCGAAGCCACCAGGCCTCTGAAACCTATCTGCCAAAACCTTGACTTGCTCGTCGGCGCTGACAGAGAACAAGTTTGGAGCTTTCTCGACCACCTCCCATGGCCGCTCAAGCTCAGACACGGCGGCTTTGAGCTCGGCCCTCTTTCGCATCTCGTAGATTTGGCGCTCGCGGCAGAGCCGAGCCTTGAGGAGCTGCTTGGCCTTCTTTGCCTGCATGCGCTTCCACTGCCACTTGGATACGCCCCCAGGGAAAGTTCTGGGTCCGCCGCCCATTCGGATGATTGTGGGTTTTGGGGTTAGAGTTATGGATTGGAGGGAGAGGTGGGAGAGCTCTGTGTGGAGGAAGAGAGGGGTTGGAGATGTTAAGGCATTGGAGAACGAAAGACGCTGCATTTTCAGAGGCGAATTATGGGGAGTGAGTGAGAAATTGGATTAATGGAGAGAACTGATTTAGGGTTTGCAGAGATTGGAATGGATGAAGATTGAAGAAAAGGCGCGAAGTGAGGGCAGCAAAGCCGCTGTGTTCACTGTGGAGTGTGGAGTTTCCGAATTTGTGGCTGTCATCTTCTTAGCCTTTAGATGATGGAGTCGGGTCGTTTCCAAATGGTTGGGCTCTTTTTTGGGCAAGCATATATCGAATTCGGCTTCTATAATTGAGTGACTAAGCAAAGAGGCCCAATCATTTTTGGATCAATTCGATTTTTTTAATTTATTCAAGCGATATTCTAATTCAATATAATCTAAACTATGAGAAGGGTGATTCGAACTTAGATACATAATGGGGAGCACATCCTCTCTAGTCAACTTGGCTAAGCCATCTCTGCGTTGGTTTTGTTATTTTCTTTTAAACAAATTATACAAATAATATTTTACTTTAATTTAATCTAAACTACGGGGAGGAGGATTCGAACTCGGGATCCTCTCTAGTCAATGTGGCTAAACTCATGTTTGCGTTGCTTTTGTTACTTGAACAGAGGTTTCTTTTGCATATGCAGCTTAGGTTAGTCAGCCATGACAATAAATCTCCCTCCCTTGCATCCAGTTTGAATAATCATCTCTGTAGGTTACCCTTCAAAAAGGAGAAAACAAAAGGAGAGCCAAAGAATTCTATATTTAATTACAATCGCATGCATTGTAACAACAAGCACCAGTGGTCTAGTGGTAGAATAGTACCCTGCCACGGTACAGACCCGGGTTCGATTCCCGGCTGGTGCAAACTTTCAATTTTTTTTCTGGGCAGCCCATTTGTTTTGTTTTGTTTGGTTTTTTTTTGGGTGTCACTTGTCTTGATCTGCCTGGCTTGAGAGAATTGAGGCTGAGGCTGGGGGTGTTCTCGACAGTCAGTCAGGAGAGCCTCTGTGCACGTGCAAACTGCTGCTAATCTATGTTGCCCCCACTGGATTTGACCTTCACCATTCACAATTGGATGAGCTGGCTGCACGGTATCTCCAGCTAAACAATTCATGTTAGAAAAATGAAGGCAGCAACCTAAATGCAATCAATCATGCACAGACACTCACTGACAAAAACCTTGTAATTCAAATGAAACACACCGCTCTCGCTCTGTTGTCTCTTCTCCTCTTCGCAAGTTGTCCAAAAGAAAAAACATCTATTGTTTCCTGCTTAATGGGCCATCTTTCTACTAAACAATTACTAGTGTTCACACACAAAAAAAAATTGCATGAGAAGTTACAGAGCAATGCAGCAGGTGTGGCTTGTTAGCTTAAAATATCATGAACCCTGTGCTGTGTGTCTCTGATTTCCCAAACACTACCACAAGTGAGGTTAAAGATTCCATGATTTTATTAATGGTCACCAACTCAATCAAAGGGCACTTATATTTTCAAATCAAGATGATACATACAGATTTGCAGACATACATATATTCCAGGATCATGAAATGCAACCCCCATTCGATCGAACCGGCAATCTTATTACTTTCATAATTTCTGTATGTAAGCTCAAATGCATGAATGCTTAGACATAGCAAGCATAATTTTTAAAGCACTCTCAACACTCTGTCTAGAAAGTTTTGTGATGTTCTTAACATGTTCACAGACAAGATGAACCTTCTGCCAAATTTTTAAAGCACCATGTTGATGCAGCAGAAGTGCAGATTAATATTGACCATTTGATTTAGATCATATCCAACAGATTTTCTTCTCCATATTCTAAACTTTATTAATCAGAGTTATTCATCACACAGAGACAAGAAAACTTTTTATGTTTGGGGCTGTTTATGGAGATGAGATGTAGATGAATGCTTTTGCCATCACAACAAGCAATGGATATGAATGAACAAACCCCAACTAAATTAAAATTAAGCAGCTTCTGACCATCTTCCATTTGTTTAGAGATTATGGGAACTTGAACTAGCCTTAATTTAATTATGCCCTGCCATTAGTGATAATTCAACACTTAATTGCATATTACAAGTTGACAAATAAACATGTTACAGATCTTGTTCCCTTGATTGAAAGCTCAGTTGTATTTGTAATATTCTAATGCTTACACGTGTAGTCTTCTTTCATTTCCCCTTCTCACAGACAACCCCATTAATTTCAAAGTACAAGAGTGAATAAATTTATTCATAGAATCCGACAATTGGAACTTTCCATCAAATTAGCCACACAATTATATAGGATCTGCTTCAATGGAAATCCCTATAAATGGCTCTCAGAGCTACCATCTGATCCTCATTGCCTCAGAACACAAGCATCTCCAACACCCCATTTACGCAAAATGGCTCAATATCAATTGCTTCTCCTTTGCTTGATCTTAGCAGATGCTTATGTGAATGTAACCATGGCTGCAGATGAAAAGACTCAAACGACAGAGCAGACTCAAACCATGGCTCCAACTCCAAGTCCTTCTAATGACAAAAACTTGTACAAGGCACAAGCACCTGTGATTAGGAAACTTGGAAAGCACCAAGCTAGTGAGAGCAAGCCACCAACTTTTAGCCCAAGCAGTGCACTAGCTTCCACAAATCCAAGTCCAGAGACTGAAGAGAGTCTGAGTATCGTAGAAGAGGAGATCCACCTAAAAAAGCACCACCATTCTCTGGACAAGTCGGTTGCCGGTGGAGGTGTGATCCTGGGAGGGCTTGCCACCACCTTCTTGGTGGCAGTTTTCTGCTACATAAGAGCAACAGCAAGACATAAAGCAGATACTGCTGCACCTGGTGCTCATATTGCTAGCTAGTTTTGTCATATGTATGTAAATGGGTGTTATATTTAAGGTTACATCATTGTAAAGAAATTGATACCAAGTAGAATATGATATTGAAGCCACTTCATATGCGCCTTGTAAAATTCATGTAGTGTAAACTAAAAACTGCCTTTATGGAAGTAACCACATTTGCATCATACCATTTTTCATTCCATGACTTGTGAAATTTGAAGATCACAAAGTGGCACTTCAAATTTAACCAAATTGGAATTAGAAAGGGAATTTAGGAGAGAAGAGGAATTAGAGTTCAAGAGAAGAACTAGATACATGGAGGAGAATCTATAAGTTTATAAATACGCAAAAGATACCACAAGAAGAGAGAATTTCTTCATCAATCAACTACAAGAATATCACTAGTTCAATGGCTAATCGACAATCTTAATCATACATTTGTTGAGGCCCAAAAAATCCATGGTTGGGTCCGAATAAATTTCTAGCCCAGATATATTATTGGAAAAAGATCCGATTTGGAGCACATGAAAGTATGACATACACGAGTCATACTCCGCACGCCATGCTAAATAAAAAATCCGTCGAGCTAGGAATTGAGATTAAAATTATAAAATGCATTTAGCTCTGCAAATCCATGCCAATTATCCTATCAAGCGCCATATTTAAAAGCATGCCAAGCAACATGTCATGCCAAGCGGGAAATTATTATTTCACACCCAATCGCACTACAAGCTTAAGTGGGCCTAAGCCACTCAAATGCCCGGGGCTTGCTTGAGTGGGTTGTGGTATGGATTGTAACGAATTGTCATGGGGCCCATTGATGGGCCGAGAAATGGAAGTCTCGGGTCGCTTGGGGGCCTCGGGACTCAAGCCCATTTTCTTAGGCTCAAACTAAGCACAAGAGAGGAAATAGCTCAATTGCTTCAACTAGAGTAGCCCAACCAAAATAACTCATTACTTTAGATAGCCCATAAAGCCCAAATACTTGGTGAATTTAACCCACTTATTAGATGACTTGACCTTCTATATTAAAGGGCCCATACCATTTGAATAAAATGAGTCCAAGGCCTTCAGCACTTGGCTGAAGCAGAAGTCTACGAAGAAAGCCAAAGATTCACATGTGAGGGGCTGCTGGGAGAACAAGTTCCAAGTGCAAGCATTCAAGAAACCAAGGGGTATTAGCACGCAGGGGAAGATGTTATCCCTTAAACCAGCAGGCGCACCCATTTTCTTTCCTTTATCAGATTTGGCCATGAAAGGAGGAGGAAAGGAGAGAAAGAAGATGGGTGAAAATGGAAGCTCTCCTCTGAAGCCGCTGCCGGAAGAAGCCTCGAGCTCCAAAAAATCTTTAATTTTGTGGGATTGGACAGAACTGATTTTTGCCTCCATGAGGTAAGTCAAGAAAGAGGAGAAGAAAGGAAGAGGAAAGCTTAGCTAGATTAGAAAGAAACCATTAGGGTTTCTTGGAGAAGACCCATTCCCAGCAGCGATAAATAGGACCCCTTCTACCCAACACAACACAACCCACAACCTTCAGAGAGCAAGCTTTCTCTCTCACATGCAAACCCAGGAATTTTCGTGCTATCCTTCCTCATTTTCCTGTATTTCCCCTGTTTTGGCAGATTGACAGAAGCTTTGACAGAGTCATTGTCAAGCTGCCGGAAACTGCGAAAGTCACCCAAAACTCTTCACCATCCTTCATCAAACCTCCTTAGAACCTCTCTCCCTCTCCATTAGAACCTCTCTCCCTCTCCATTAGAACCTATGTACCTCATAGGAACCCATAACTCTCTCTCCTAAAGTGCTAAACCCATGATAATTTTTGCTCCCATACCATAAGTCACTCATGCCAAGCTAGAATATTTATCTGTAATTTGTTGTCATTTTCATCGGTGAAGGTAACCAAGGAGTTTCCTAAGGCGTCATCACCCTTTCGAGACATCCTTGGGGCTTGATATTCGAACCTAGACACAAGGGGACACTTGCATCAGATTGCTCTTTACAGCAACCCAGCCCACTTGCTGCCGGAAGAAAAAAAGCCCCTACAACATTAAAAGGAAAAGAATAGAAAACTAACAATAATATACGAAGCAAAATCAAAGTAACCCTATTTTAATTCTCTAATCAAGATAACTAAATAACTATAAATAATTTTCGATTTATCTCATTTCTTTTAGCATTCATAATTAGAAGAACCGAATTCACATTGTGGTGGGCCGTGTAGTGACTCCATTGGGCCTTAATGTCTGAAATTTCCAGCCCAAAGCGCAGGGTGCGTATATAAAACCGCGAACTCTCTCCAACCTCCCCAAGCCTTCCCTCTCTCGCAAGAAAGAAACTCGTTTACATTTCTAGAAACAGAAAAGAGAAACAAAACCCACCGATCAATCACACTGAGACACACTGCAATGGCGAACGACAAGTCGGTGATGGCAGTGATCAGAGCCGCGAGGCCATCATTTCGCAATAACAACGACAAGGTCGTCTTTGCCGTTCACGCCTCCTTCCTCGCCTCCGGCTACGTGCTCACTGCCGCTGGCCCCCCTGCTTTTTCTGATTCTGCTCTCTCTTCGCCTTCAACTGGTACTCCCTCATTTAAATGTTGAAAATTTCTTCGTTTTTTTCCTCTAAAAATGATTAGTAAATTTTCTAAAGTTTTCTGCTTTTGTTTAATTGGGGTTTTAGATGAAGTGGGTATGGACCAGTGGAACGAGCTTGACGACGAGTACGCGTTCGTCTATGTGAACCCAGAAAAGGGTTCGAAGAAGGTGCTGGTTAAGTGCCTTGTAATGAACGATAAATTGCTTGTAGATGCTCTGGCTGATGGGAGTTCTGAGCCCGTCCATCTTGAAATCAAGTAAGTTTTTTCTGTGATTCTTTGTGTCGCTTGAATTGGGCACTTTCAATTCTTGCTTCTTACTGGTTTTTGGGTGGTGTTTTTAACAATTTTCAGCGTTGGTGACCATGTTGGAGAGAATGGGGGTAGCAATTACTCTACACAGTTCAAGAATTTGGAGAAACTGGTGAAGAGTTTGGAAACTCAAGTTTTGACTAAATTAGATGGGTCTTCCAGTGTCAGTTCCTCTAGTAACCCTTTAAGGTAATTGTGTTTCGTCTTAGATTATCTTTAGTTCTGCTAAATATCTTGTATTGATATGATCTAGAAGTGCATTAAGATTGTGCTAAGTTAGTCATGGTTATAAAAAATTATGCATACGAAGTGTAAGAATCATGGAATGTGCTTTTTACGTATTGTTGTGTCTTTTTTGTTGCTGAACTTTGCAGTTCAGAAAGGAATGACAGATCAACGAGTGAGCCTGTTTATGGACCTTCTGGCTCCCAACCTAATCCTTCTGGGTACATCTCTCTCTATATATGTTTTCATTAAACTTGAATTTGTGTGTGTGTGTGTGTGTGTAATTCTAGGGCCCTGTGTATGAAATTCATTTCAGTATTTTTAATTAAGACAAGATTGATCGGAAGATTAGATTGCAAGGCCTGAGTAGGAGGGACTTGGCTTAGGTTTGTCAAGATCGTACCAGTAGTTAAGCATTTCATTATCTAATCTGGTGATTATTCTTAGATTCCCACCTATTTCATTATCTAATACGGGCGATCATGCTCAAAATTTTGATTTGTACCCTTAAAATGTTTTTGCCCCTTTTAACATTGGTTACTTATGTGTTTTGTGTGTTTAAGTTTTTAAATTCTGCTGTTTACTCTATGTTTTCTGGCTTTCTTTGCAGAATGGTGTTTCCTCCAATTAATCCTACTGGTGGTTTTAGTGATCTTCTTCCTGGGCCTGGTGCTGGAATGTATCCTACTAGGTATTGTACTTCAACAAATCATGATGTTGACGGTCATTGCAGTTTACACCCAGTTTTATTGTTCCAAATTTGAACATATATATGTTTTGTCTGTCTTTCAGGGGCGGTTTTAGCAGTGGGGGCATGCTTCTAGGTTTGTACATACTTCTTTATTTTTAATGTGCTTGATAATAATCATATGAAGTTTTTTTTTATTATGACTCACATTTCATTTGTCATGCGAATCTAGGACCCAATGATCCTCGGTGGTTTGGTGGCGTTGGAGAGCCTGGGTTTCCAGGAGGAGAACCGTGAGTTGTTACTCTCTCTATTTCTCTCCCTTGCTTATGTTATACTTTGTATTGCTGTTCTAATTTTGGTTGGATTTATTTTTGGAACAGGGGTTTTCCTCGTTTTGATCCCCATAGGCCAGCGGGTGTTCCACCAGGTGCCCGTTTTGATCCATATGGCCCTCCAGGAGTTCCTGGTTTTGAGCCTAATCGGTTTGCAAGGTAATATTGAAATTACATTTTGCATCAGTACCCCCTAATAACTTCCTGAAAATGATTTAATAAGGCATCGACTGAACCTGGTATTCCATGTATTTGAACTTTGAACCAGTTTGTATTGTTTTTCTTGGTAATTATTGTTTGAGCGTTATGAATGAATGGGTGGCATAGGTTACATTGGTTTTTTGGTTTGAAGTTTAATAGTCAATGATGGATGGTTTTAGTTACTGGTTTGATTCTGTGATGGAGGTTTCCAATGAAGGTAGTGTAAGTGAGGTTTTTTTACTCTTTATTTTTTTTGGTTTAAAAAGAAAAAATCGTTTCCCCGTAAAGCAGATGGAATTTAAACTGGGCTCGCACCTGGTCTCTGCCCAAGAGAGCTTCCATAATTTTAAGTTTGGCACTTCTTGTTTTCTCCCTTGGAACATGAAAAAAATACATATATTCAGTATCTTTTTATAATGGGCTTAACTGACTATTCACTATCTTTGAGCCTGCTTAATCAGTCAGGGTGGTATTGATTGGGACTCATCCAAATACATGCATAATGTTTTGGTATTTTGGATTTAACAAATAGTGAAAATGTAGGCGCAATTCGCCTAGCTTATCATAATATTCTATGATTTCTATTTTGTTACAGGAATCCGCGGAGGCCAGGGAGTGGGACTCATCCAGACCTGGAGCATTTTGGGGGTGGCTCAGATTTCATTTAGATGTGTGATGCAAAAGAGCTGTCCTTTGACATCAAATAAGAAATACTTGAGGACTTACTTGAGCTAAGAGATGATCTTGTTTTTCTTTCTTTTGGCTTGCAAGTTACCTATGTAAATGAGAGTTTGTACAAAGTTTCTAACATGCTCTGTAATGCGTATTCTCTCTCCCTTTTTCTTAAAGAGCCTTTATGCTTTAATGCAAGGATTAATCAGATTGCCCAGGAGATTCATTGCATCTTCTACATTTGTTACATTAAGCAATCAAAATTTGTCAACCAAAGGGAGATGGATTTTGTGAGTTAGAATAAGATCCTGACCGTTCTTTTTATCGAGAATTCGTTATACTATTTGGTGTTTGTTGATTAGGAAAATGTCGGAAACCATGAAGTAATTAAGTTCAATTGTCTCATTAGATGCTTCCAACGTGGTCAAATTGATTGGAACCTCACAATTTTCTTACCACCCTTTCCTTCTGTTTTACCAAGAAAAGAAGACTTCATTTACCATACGTCCGTACTTGGAATCTGATACCCTGCGTATATGCAAATCTGTTCCTAGCTTTATAACACAAGTCTATCAACTTGAAGAACACAAATGAAGATTCCTATAAATTTCTTTTTGTTTTTTTGGTCCGAGCAATTCCATTTGTCTTAACATGCAAAAATGAGCCATCAGAGAATCACAAAAATCCAAAAAAAAAATGATGTTCTCGTGTTGCAAAGATGACAAGGGTAGGGCCCAACTGACCCACCGCTTGAGAAACTTATTGAGAAAAAGGAAGTTTCCATCCAAGTCCCAGTACTAATTTCCAAACCCGCAGAAACGTAAGGAACTGGGAAGCGTGTGACACATTTCCGAGCATTTTCTCTAGAAGCCCCTGTTATTACTTTAAGTCTCTTTAGGCCCTAAATCAAGCAGAAAAAGCCAACCCCTTCTAGATTGAAAAAGACACGAACTATTTTTTCACATATAAAAATAACCCATCATTGTTTTCTTATGCCCATCTATATCTGCTGCTGAAGTGTTTGTAGAAGCTGTACAGTTTTTTGCTGGAAGAAAAGAAGAGATATGGGGCTGCCCAAGTTTTATCTCCTACCTTTGTTGCTTCTGATTGTTGTTTTTGCATCGAAGAAATCTTCAGCTGTTGAAGCAAGGCCACTTTCCATCTTGCCACAACAAGGTAAAAGGGTTTGATAAAAACATGTCCCCCAAAATCTCTCTGTTTTTCTGAGTTCTTGATCAAATTGTTTAATCAGATGTCCCGACTGAAATCAATTGTAGGACATGCAAAGGTTTTTTCAACACTTGGAATTGCTTGCGAGTGCTGTGATGGAGCTGGAGGTGAATGCACAAGTACATGGACTGAGCCTTGCACTAGGCTCAAATGTCTTCCTTGGAAACATTATTAATAGCTGAAGACTTCTTTTTCTTCTTCTCTTTCCATTTGTAAATAAAAATACCTTACATATATATATTCTCTAAAGCGGGCGTTGGGACGCCATGTAATGTATTTTCCACTATTTCTCTTGCTTTTCTCTTTGTTTACAATAGCATTCACAAATTATTAGTGTGTGGACATTCGGATGAGAGAATAAATATATATACACTAGTGGAATTATATTAGTTTCTTCTTTGGTTTCAGTTCTGTTCTCTGTTTCATCAAGTTCTATTATATGGGAAAACTTAATTAACATCATTATTTGTATGCTTGAGCTGATTAAGCTTCAAGCTACCTAAATTTCTAACTAGAATCTTAGAACCAATTTTCTATGGGCTGTAAAGTTTTTCATAATTTGAAGTGATGTGTGTGTGATTGTATGGAGGAGTTTTAGGTGGGAACTGAGATTAGAAACGTGGCTGAAATTTCTTCACAGGAGGACTTGCTGTCTTCATTCTGATTCAATGAAAATTTGACTTCTAGAGGCCCCTCCCTCCCTCATCACACAATAATATGTAAGTAAACTTTCATTAATAATTGAGCTTTGCCATCATATACCAGCTTCTTTTTTTCTTCTAGATGCAAGATGAAGAAAAAACATCTGTTGATTTGGTAGCTTAAATTTGAAGCCCATTGGTAGGTTATGGGGTGACTTAGGGTTTTCAAGTGAGCCACATGTTCCCTTAATACCTAGCATTCGTGTCGTGTTTATAGTGTTCGTGTTAACCCATTTTTCTTGACATGACACGAACGATAAGAAAATGGCTGGAAATGTCAAACACGAACACGACTCGTTACAATTCGCGAATCACACGACACGACACGATAATCCATTAAGAATTAAAAAACAAAAAACAAAAGAATAATAATAAAAATAAAAACAGAAATATTAAACAATTAAAAAAATCAACCAGTTCAAGAAAAAAAAAATCGAACAATCACAGTGTCTAGATCTAGAAGAGGATGAGAGTGAGCGAGAGAGAGAGATGGAATAGGGGTATCTACGCTACCACCCTATTAATGAGTTTGAACCTTTCTTTGAGAGATTGGGTTTGAAACGAACCGAGTATGTCCCTCTTCTTCCTCATAAATTGATGCTCTTGATTGATGACGATTTGCTGCTTCATAATTATGGTGGAGGAAAAGACGAAAGAGAAGAAAGTGAAGAAAAAGAAAAAGAAAAGAAAAAAGGATAAATTTACAAAAATGCCCCTGAGCTTAGCGGGTTAACGAGTATTTGCGAATTGACACGACACGACACGACACGATAGCTTAACGGATGGATAACAGGTCAACACGATATCAACACGGCACGATAACTCAGACCCGAATACTGAATTTTTTGTGCGCATTCGTGTCATGTTAACAAGTCGAGTATAATATTGCCACCTTTATCCCTTATGTATCATTTTCTTTTTACTTTTTTTCAAACACAAGTGATAGCCTAAACAAGGGTGACTGGTCTATAAGTCAAGTCAGGGGAGGGGAATTTCTCACATACAACTACTAAGTTGTCATGTGGGTTCGAACTTAAGACTACTAGTCTGTAAGTCAAGACCTTTTTTCACTAGGCTAGACCTTATTGATTTTTTTTAGTACAAGCAATATCTAAATTACTCTTAATCAATCTAATTTATGAAAAGGGGGATTCAAAACTTGAGTGCAAAGGAGACGGAATCACTAACTTGACCAATTAACCCAACTCATATTTTCCTTATATAATACTAGCCTTCAGAACTTGCAAGAGGCTTTTTTATTTTTAAAATTTAAAATTTTAAAAAATAATGGGTAGTTATGTTCCATAAAATTAAGATTCATTATAAGTTTTTTTTTATTTAAAAAAATTTAATATAAAAAGTGTGAATTTACCATATTATTCTCATTTAATTATAATTTCAATTCTTAATATTTGTATTAACCAATGGCATTTTTTGATATTTCAAATGTTTTTCTATTTTCTGCCTTTTTGCTATATATAGATCACAATAACTTGCTCATTTATATAAACAAGGATGTTCATTTGATATCAACAAAGTTGGGCTTGAATCGGCCACTCATAAAGGCCCAATAATTATATCTTAGGTGGGTTTAATCCAAACTAATTAGGCCCACTTATTTCTCATATGGATTCAACCTCAGTGGGCTGGCCAGCTCAGCTAAGCCCCCACCACCTTGGTAATAATTTTCAGAATTTGTACTTCTTTTCTATTCGCACCAAAACATTATAACAAAATTTTAAAATCATCAGACCAAATAAAAAAAAATCAAATCAATGCCTGCCTTCATTTTGTAGTTTAGTGCAGGATTGATGGCAAAAATGTCTATGCCTTGGCCATGCTTATAATTGAAGTGTGACATATTAAAGTGCCAGAAATATGTATAATGTAATGAGCATGACGCTTTATAGGGAACAAATGATTTTTATTAATGGCACGTTTACTTATATGGAATGCGAGTAAAAAGAATGGAAGTCATTTCCATTCGAGGTCATTCCAGTGTTTACGAACACTTCAGTAATCAAAACAAGGGTGCTTGAATCTTAAATAGTACTTATTATAAGGGTAAGAAACTTGATGCTGAGTTTCAAAGCATGTGAACCAAACTGTCAAGATTTTTGACAGATCACCATGCGGATCAAAACCTGATGCAGGGTTCCAGTAGTTACACAGAATCAGAACTTAAAATGAATTTCCGCTTATAGTTGAAGGAACAAATGTCTCTCAAGCAAAGTGAAGTCGTATTTGACATATTTATTTACTAACTCAAAGAAAAAGTACCAGTTTTTTTCTTCTCTTCCGGACGCAAGAGGCAGGAAAACATGCATATAAGCAAGGAGTTTGATATCCAAATTTCTTTTGAGTTAATCTAGTTCTGCTAAGAAATTGTTGGGCTTGAATCAACACTAACTAAGAAGGCCCACTGGTTACTGATATAGACCAGCACCAGCCAATCCCAACCACCTCAGTGGGCTGACTGGCTCAGTCCTCACACCCTAATAATAATTTTAGGAATCTGTACTTCTTTTCTATTCGCAGCAAAATATCGTGAAATACTAGTTCAAAATTCAAATCAATGCATGCTTTATTTTAGTAAGCTATAGAAGGACTTGTAGTTTACTGCAAGGACTGATTGCAAAATGTCGATACCATGGCATTGGCCATGCTTTATAATTGAAAAACATGTGTAATGTAATGAGCATGACACCTAATAGGAAGCCGATGGTTTTTATTTATATTTACTTTTTTATTGAAGCTGTGTTTTTTCAATCTTTCGAGAGGACAAACAAACTTGAGACCTCTTCTACCAATTATAGAGACTTTGCGTATACGCAAACTTCTTCGAAAGACATACAAAAAAGTTTTGTTGTCATAACATTTCTTGGAATATTTTTGTCATAACCTATTTTCTTATGAGTTATTTTGGTTTTCCATTTTAGTGCGAATCTTCTGAATTATTTTACCATCTAGAGCATTATAATGATAGCATTTTAAGGCCTTTTTTTTCCAGCCAAGAAATTGATTAGATAGGATTTTGAAAAAGAAAAGAAAAGAAAAGAAACTTTACAACAAGAGAAAAGAAAAGTGAAAGAAAGTGGAGCCAAATCCAAAAACTGGAGCCTACTTTAGAACACGCGACCCTCGCAGTGATGTACGTTAGCAGAGAGCTTGTGTGGGGCAATGATATCATGTTCTTAACGTGGGTCTCTTTGAATTTTTGCACTTTTTTTCTCTCTCTTTTGCTTTTGTTCTTATCCATGAGGCAGGTTTCATTGGCTTGGCTCATAAGTAGTGCCGTTTTCTGATTGTTCTCCTTCTCCTCGTATTATTTTATATATAATTACATGCACATGATGTTCTTGTTGTTACAACCTCATCCACCCACATCTCTTATCACCAATTCCAATTTTCCATGTCTATGTAGTGTTAACTATGGTTAGTATGTTAACTATGATTATCAAGTCAGTAAGTTTGTCACAAGTCCGGTACCTAGCACGTGTATTAGTTAGACAGTTAAGCTCATCTGTAATCTGTTTACATAAGAGTGGGCTATGCTTTGTAAAAGTTAGTTGATTGAAATAAAAACTCAGAAATCCTCTCGTCTTCTCCATTTCTCTTTCTCTGTTATCTCTGAAATTCTCCTTCTCTTTCCTTTCTGTTATCATGTAGTAGCTCACTCACATAGGGTTTAAGGTTTTCTGGCTTTCTGGCTAGTGGGGTGAATTGTAAACATATATAATTATATATTTCTACGTTTTCAGAATTTACTTTAATTACCTATATTAGAGAGAGAGAGTGAGTCACGAGAGTTTTATTCTTACTTTGAAAATAAGTGTATTAGGGATTTTCTTGACTAGAACCCAAAAATAAAAATGAAGGGAAATCAATAAAGTCTAGCCCAGTGAAAAATGACATTAACTTGCATATCAATTGTCTCATATTCGAATACCTTGACAGTGTGTGTGTGTGTGTGTGAGAAACCCTTCAACTTGTGTAGTTTAAATTATCGCATATTTTCGAAAAAGGAAACCAAAAAAAGATGGTTGTTACAAAGTAAAATTGTATTTCTTGGAATGTCTTTACGTGCACATATGAAATTAGTTGGGACTTTTTTTCTTCCTCCTACCATTTAAGCCACAAAAGAGAGAGCACTTTACGATTTCTTACAAACTCTGCCGAACTAGAAGACTTGAAATGTTTCAATTAAGTTGACTATTTGTTACATAGTGATTAGGTAGCCAATCTTTCTCGTAATACCTGAACTCAATTATAAAATCCAGCAAAAGCGATTTGGAAATTAATATAATTATAACTCGAGAAATAATATGATGTTTTTGTGGCAGTCATTACCACACAAAACGAGTGAGATGTGGGGCATCTTTTAATTCTTATAAATCAGGCGACAACAAATAATTTAAATTCCATACTTTATTATATTTGGGTCGGATAACCTTTCGCAATTTAGGTTGATTTTTCCTTTAATGCATTTCGTGCACATGCATTTGCCGGTCGTTGTGGCTGGATTCCATGAATCTCAAGTGTAAAAACTTAAACGGTTTCCTATATGGTAAATAATTAAGACCCATATATAAGGTATAAAATATTTCAATGGCAAATGGTGTATATTATCTTCCAACCAAACCTCACAACTTAGATTTTTATTTTTATTTTTACAGTATAAGGAGAGAGGGGTTTTTCACACATACATTACAACGGTGTCATTGGGATTCTAACCGAAGACCACTGCAAGTCAATGCCATTTTTCACTGGACTAGACCTCGTTGGCTAAATTTATAATTTTTTTTTAGTTTCCATTAAAAATGTTAGATTCTTTTTTTCTAAGAGGTCATATATATAAGAACTTTCATTGAACATATTGAATGATTTATGTTTACCAAACACGCGTGATCACAATGAACTCAATTTTCTTGTATAAATTTTAAGTGAATATGCAATTTTCTCACTTACGATTTTCTTTTAAGAGAAACTAAGGGCTTGTTTGGGAGTGTTTTTGGAGCAGTGAAAAGCGCTTCTAAATGAGTAAATGCGCTTCTGTCTTTTAAAAATGGTGTTTGGCAAAAATTGCAAAAACACTTTGGGTGAGATCCAAAAGCACTTGGAGTGGTTTTGGAAGAAGCACTTGAGAGGTGCTTCTTCTTAAAAGCGTTGCAGGACAAAAACAAAGGAAGCACTTGACTCCCTTTAATGAAACTTTTAAAATGCCAAAAATACTCATTTTTAATTTTTTTTAAATGCCAAGATACCCTTTCTTTATTTTTTTTTCTCTCTTTTTCTCTCATATTAAAACCAAAACACTACCCGCGAAAAGGCCAACAGACGCCAAAACACCCATGAAAACCTTTAAGCTTCTATTAATCCATCACTATCTTTACATTTCACAACTTTTTTAAGCCGTGTTTTTATTTTGGAATCATGTTAATTTTTATTTCCTATGTTTATTATAATATTTGGGAAAACACTTTTAAATGTGACATCCAAACGACAAACTGCTTCTTTGTAGAAGCGCTTATGTTATAAGTGCTACTGACATAAGCGCTTCAAGAAGAAGCACTCCCAAATTAGCCATGAGCATGCTTGCTCATATTCGATTTCGTAAACCTATTTTTACGTCCAATAATAAATTTCTAATTCCACCACTGATCATCCTTAAAAAACCAAAAAAAAAGAAACAAAAAAAAGCATGTGATTATTAGATGTGTCTAATAACACTAAATTCAAATAATTATTGAATGAATATGATGTAAAAATATGAAATGCTGATGGTGGAGTTTATAGGACGTACACCACGCGGCGACCCTCCTCGGTGGTACCCAACCCACGACTCCAGCTGCCATGTACTTACCCATTTTTCGACACTTCAGCTTGTGTCGTTTTTGGCCCTTATGACTTCTTTCTTGTGGCCCCATGCCCCATCATCAACTTTATCAATCAATCAACTCCCTTTAGTTACACATCAAACCATTGTGATTTGGCATTAGATTTTTTAGGCTCACTGTTCATCACCCTAATAATGTAGAGAGATTTTCATTTAATGAGGATATCACTTTTTGTTATTACAGTTAATAACGTAATGATATGCGGAATAATTTTTTCACGTGTCATTTTATTATTAATCGAAAATAACAAAATAATCCTATCTCCGTTACAAAAAAAATTTCTGCTAATGATGGTCTCAAACTTTCTCATCCAATCACAAAAGATTGGATTAATTTTCTCTTTTTCTACTCAAAATCATAGAAGTTCTACCTTTTCTCACCGACTTCTACGTTAACGCTACTTGAGTTGGAACTCTCATATTTTGCTTATCGATATTTGAGCCACATTATTATAAATTATTTGGTTTTCGTAGAGAAATGCTTTTTGACCTTTTACCATATAATAAATATGTTATTTGGCAAAAGGAGGTTGTTATTAGTCACATCGAAAATTTTATTATCCGGTGATCAAAAGTACAATTTATTTGTTATATTTCTCTTACATTTCTAAATGGGATGAAAACATAATGATCGGGTTTGACGAGTGCTAATAACAGTTCTTTCAAAAATGTGAATTAAGATTGCGGTTTTCTCTGATTGATAATATCATTATACAGTCGAATAACATAATATGTCGGTAAAAGAGATCTATCATAATGTTATAATGTTATTATATAAGATGCTAAATTGTGTAATAAAATATTGTGAATCCTGTATCCAAATAACTTCCAACTTCCAACTTCCAAAATACCAACCAGACATGAGCTTGAAAAAAGTGGGGGAATGGGAGAAGAAGACCCATCTCTGTTTTGGTCCGACAAGATAAAAAGATAAGGTCATAAAGGTCTGGCTATCTCTTTATAAACTGTATATTTCATTTGTCCAAAAGAGTACTAGGTGCAAAGTCAATAATGGGCTTGTGTAGGGTAGGGTTGTTATTATCCACTAGGGTTCTCGTGGCAGTAAAAGGTTGGGAGTTATTTTGGAGGGCCCACAAGGAAGGACTGCCTGTCCCACGTGGCGCAAATCTGTAACTCTCTTCGCCAGGTCGTTGAAGGAAGAAAGAGAGAAAGAAAACCAAAAATAAAAATAGAAACAGAGAGAGATCGTAGGCTGAGACACCGAAGGAGAAAATCATACCAAATATAATAATTACATTAAAATTAATTAATTTAATTTAATAAAAATTTCGAAATTTCGAATTGGGCAGGCGTCCTTTTTGGCTTATAAATTGGGTGGGAGCGACGGTTTCGTTTTTACTCAATAGCGCTTTGATCTTTCACGTGTCTCTCCCTTTCTCTCCGTTTTTTCTATTCGATTTGCTCTGTCTGTATCGCGCCTTCCGTTTTGTTTCTTAGCACAAACAAATTCTGTAGCGGTTTCCTGTTTGCTAAGCTTCGCTTGACGGTGCTTCGGTTCATTATAATTATATATACACATACATATTCACAGCACTCTGCTGAGATATAAAACAGAGAGGCTTTCAAGGGTTATATAACGATACAGGGAGAGAAATGGAGGGGAGAAAGCAAGTTGGGTCGTCTTCTTCCTTTACTTCTGAGCTTTTCGGGTCCAAGGAGTCGTCATCTTCATCTGGGATTTTCGGGGCTATATTTGCGCCTTCCTCCAAGGAACTGGTATTGCTTTTCCCCTGTTCAAGTTCTTGTCTTTTTATTGTTTTCTGAATCTCTGAAATCTTTATCTGTTTTTATTTTTATTTTTGTCTTCAATTATTTAATTTTGTTTTGATTGCTATCTTAGCATTTTACGTTATTGCTTTGGATTTTGAGGGTTCTTGACTGTTTTCTGTTTAATGGTATTGGAGTTCTAATGTTGTCCCTTTTTTTCTTAATTGAATATAGGTTAAAACTGTCGCCTTTTGTTTGATTTTATATTGTTGGGTGCCTGTTTTTGCATTTCTGCTCGTAAAATCTTCCTGGGGTTTATCTATATATATATATATATATATATATATATATTATTTATTTATTTTTTTCCGAAATTTGGTGAAGGCCTTCAATCGTCATCTACAAGTTCATATTTGCTGAATTGGGAGATTTCTGTCTGATATTATATTAAAAAAGAAGTGGATTTGCATCATCAAGACAAGATTTTTATTTATTTTTAGTGAGAGATTGCATTAGCTCTTTTAACGAAGGGCTTTAGAATTCTATAATGCTGGGATATGTTTGTTCTTTGGAAAATATTTTGTTTCATCTCCCCTCTGAGCTTTTAAACCATATTTTACAATAAACTCGCAAGTTCTTTTGCAAATTAAATTAAAAAACTTTTGTTATTGGAATCCCTCTCTCTCTGGCTGACCTTTACTAGAATCTGTAAAGTGTATGCGTATATTTATTTATTTTATGTTGTACCAAGTTCTGAGAGAAAGTTGTCTTCCTGTTCATGAAGGTGTTAGGGAGGGAATCTCTGCGTTCTGAAGTCACTGGGAAAAAGCTTACGGATGAACCATTGCACGTCAAACCTGGAGAGCCAGGTTTGTATAACTGTTGGTTTTCTTATGGCCAAAGCTTGTATCTGTTACAATCTTGTTTAGATTGCTTCTCGCTGCATGTCAGCCATGAAAGGTGGTGGTCCTTTCTTCACTGATGTGGATATTATGCATATTCCTCCTTTGATTTTTTTTTCCCCAAATAAAAGATGTATCTTTCGGTTGTCCTGGTTTTTTTTTAATCATATGATTCCTGGTTTTATTGACCGGTTAAGAGATGAATTGTGTTGTGTGTTTGAAAATTGTCTGCTTCTGTTACTCTGATGTTGCTGCAGTTGGTGACTCTAATGGCAGTGAAGGTGAGAGTCAGAGCATGCCAAATAAGGACATGAGTTCCTTCTATCAGGATCAGAGAGTACAGCAACCATGTCACCTCAGCTCTTCAATCTATTATGGTGGCCAAGATATTTATTCTTACCCCCCGAGTACCCAGAGCCCTGGATTTAACTCTATGGTGAGAATTTTTGTTTGTTTTGCTTTTTGTTTTTTCCTCCTTAAAATTTGTTGGTTTTACCATCTGACTCTGTGAATAAGATTCTTTAAAAATTTCCCCAGGAATAATGCAAACACAGTGTGTGAACATTGGACATGAGATAGTTTCCTCTCTCTCTCTCTCTCTCTCTCGTATCCTGGAAATTCCAGTAGATTACGGTTGATCTTAATTCCGGAGCCTGATAATTATATTTTATGATTATTTCAGTACAAGAAAGATGGGACTGAAGATGATTCTGGGAGTGCTTGTAGAGGAAACTGGTGGCAAGGTATGATATTTTCAACTTCTGTACAGGAGGTGCATGAACTGCCTTACTGGGACTCTGTATGTACTATTCTGACACTGTTTTTTCTTATGAATTTTTTCATCTGTAGGGTCTCTCTATTATTAAGGGCCCACTTGCCGAGGCATATACTCATCAAGGTATATTATTTCTAAGTTTCTGAAACATTACTAGGAATAGTAGATACACTTCTTGTCGGTGGCATCTACTTTTTTCTTCTCTTTTTTACTTTCACCTCAATTTTATTTGGATATGGTTTACTAATTAAGCATCTGTTTGTGTATATGCTTTGCAGATATATAGGAAATAGGGTACGTAGCAGCAGCAGATGGTTGTGTGCAGCTGGTTTGTTTTGCTCCAGTCCAGCCCAACAACAGTCATATGAAACCAATAGTTCTCTATATATATGCATCTTATTTAGTATCAGTGTAAAGAATGATGAAGTGGTCTCCTTATGTAAAGGATGTTTGGTCTAGTGACTTGTCCTTTATCTTCAACTACTGCTAATGTGGTTGAAGATTTGGATACGAGTAATTTAGCTGTGTTTAATATATAATATATGTATGTATGTTTGAACTCGTAATTGCATGTTTTCTTTAGCTCTATTATTGGTTTTTCTGTTATGTTTTCCCATGGATGGATGGATGGTTGGATGGTTGGATGGTTTGCATTGTAATTCTTTGGTCCATCAAATTCGTTACCTGAGACAGAATCTAATTGATGGCATGCATCAAAATCTGGAAGTTAGTCATGCTGTTGTCATCTTTCAGAGATGTTGTATGTGGACTACAAAACGTGTGGTCCTAATTTACAATGTCGGAACATAAAATTTTGATAAGAGAATGTTACCCTATCTTCACGTTCTCTCTTGCTGCACAAGTCTTAAGATGTCTTTATTCTTTTTTGGTTCACCCATTTTTTCTTCTCTCTTCTTTCTTTTTCGGATTTTCCATGTTGATGCCCTAGTTGAAAACTGCTTCTTCTTATGCGCCCGTGACCTGGTCAAATAAACACATGGATGTTTGGATTTATGCCTTTGGCCCTCAAAACAGTCAAAAAAGTTGTTCTTGTTTATGACATTGCCCTTCAGTTTCCTCCTTACCTCAAAATTTTAGATTCCATAGTTAGTGCCACGTCCTAGAAACTAACAAATCTCTCTTCAAAGACAGTGTGGCCCATCAACCAGAATTATATATCTTTATATCTATCAATCTGCTTTTGATTTTTGGGTCGAGGTTAATTATTCCCTATCCAAACATGACCTTACAGGTTAAAAGCAGTCCTTATCCCATGTCTGGTAGGATATTTGCTTTCCATGGTCGTTAAGGAAGATTTCTTGCTGTTGCTGGTCTGGATGGATGGAGATTCTTCAGCCACGCTTTTACAAAGTAATTGGATCATCTGATTTTGATGTTTACAATGAATGTTTGTCTCCAATGGTCCAATCATTCATTTCAAACCTTAGAACATACCACTTGTTGGGTCCCACCCAGTAACCGGGGGGGGTACAAATTCCTTGCCTTTTTAGCAAAATAATTATTGGGTTTCTGCGCAATTATTGATAACACACATGCAATTGTCACACTGAAATTTGCACTAATGTTTTTTTAATTATTATTATTATCCAACAAGGATACAATACATACATGCTACAATTATAAGCTACTAGCTTTTTATTGTCAAATCACAAGCAGTAATCTCCTATTTACTGATGCTAGTAGCCTTCACCTTCTCTTCATGTCCACTCATGGCAGTGTGTAAGCTGCAACATTAGCATTATTATTGCATTAGAACATTAGCCACAAAATAAAATAAAAATACTTGGCCTCGTACATGTAACGAGTCATTCTTTTTTACAGACAAATCATAGTTACTTACGTCCACATTTGTAGCCAACAGGGCGGTTGGCAAAGTTGCAGCGTTTGGGAATGGTAATGGCAACCTCAGCCTTCACACCAGAGTTCTTGGCAGTGTCAGAGAGCAGAACAGCACAGAGGCAGCTAGGGTTTTGGCCCAATCTCTTCACCTGCTGGCAGCAGCCACTGGAAACAGGAGCGTTTGCATCTTGTGCAGCACTTGCACAAGGAGCAAGCTTGATGGCCTCATCATCTGGGCTAGCTTTTCCACATGCGCTAGCCCCATCAACCCTTTCAAGGCAGCTAGTACATATAACTGCAACCAATCCCAGAATGCAAATGAATTTCATTGGAGCCTCCATTTTTGTATTTTTGTGCCTCACAAAGTTCACAATTCACAAGCTGGAAGTTTAGTCAAGTGTTCTCTAGCTCTCACAATGCCACAATGCAAAAATCTGATTATAGGATCAGCCTTTTTATACTTGAATCAGAGCAGAAAATGTGGGTTTTCCATTCATCCACTTACCCCTAATGGAAGTAGCACTAGAACCAAAACAACTTTTTTATGCAGCACTTTCGGCTACGCAAATTGGTTTGTGCGTTATGTGTCTCACCTTAACTCCAGTATTCAACATAAATATAATTTATTTCTTGTCCTCACTCTTCTAGATGTGGCCATTACTGACAGTAAAGAAGCTCAGAGGCCTTGTTGTTAGGACACATCACCCCAATTCTCCAAAACTCCATTGCCGACCTTGGCAAGGCCTCTTCTTATCTGTGAAGACGTGTTACCAACTACCACACTAAGATTAATATTCCACCATGAAATAACTTTTGAGCCACTTAACCAGATAACTCTCTTCTTTGAAATTACAAGAAGGCATAATTTCTGACAGAATTCAATTACAAAGTTGGCCTACCAGATAATATCACTTGCTCTAAGCTCAGAATTAGAGACAACCAACTATGCCAAATAGCCCAAAATGAGATGAGAAAATATAGCTCTAAGTTCTTGCTTGCTTCTCTGCTGTTGTATACATCCCCATTAAAAAGAATTGGTTTGTTTCTGTGGACATGTACTAGGATTTCAGCATTGTGTGTTATTATAGTTATAACAACAACCTAAAAATTCAATGGTCCTCAGGCAAAGTCGTGGGTTCGAGTCCTAGCATCTGTGCAGTGTACGTGAGTTTAGTATAGCGCCCCTCTTAATAAGAAAGGTTCTAAAAAAATTAAAAATTAATTAATGATCCAGTTTATTTTGTATATTGTACTAGAATTTTCTTTTCTTGGTCTGAAATTGTACTAGAATTTTCATAATGGTTTTGTTCAGAATATTACAATCAACTTAATTAAAGGGTAAAACCCCCTATGCCACAAAATAGAAGAGTTTTTCTGAAGGACTGATGTGGAAATTCACAACATCGTAGGCAAGGCATACTGAAATATGATTGTACGTCCTTGTTTATAAAGTAGCGTATTGCATAAGGTATCAAATGTGGGCATTTGGTCTAGTGGTATGATTCTCGCTTAGGGTGCGAGAGGTCCCGAGTTCAATTCTCGGAATGCCCCTACTTTTTTCAACATTTTTTGGCATTTCTTCATTTCTTTTGCAGTATATGGTTTGGTTGAGAACACTGAACAACACAAAGTTTTTGTAGGATTTCGTGGGAATTATAGCCCATTATCTATGCAGTGTATGATCGCTCATCATGTTTGCTCAGAAACCCAAGTCACGGATATACATAATTCTATTTAAAATTGACTATCTTAGCTCATGCAAAATGCCCACCAAGTTTGAACACAGTGCCAAACTAAACCCAAGTCATGAATATTCAGATTCCAGAAATTGCAAGAGAAAAGTCTGCTAATATGCACACTTGAACATATTTGCACTGAATTTTATCAATATCCACCGCATGAGAAGAAAACAATAAGAATTCATATATTCTATCCAAAATAGCGTAGGATTTTCTTAGTTCTCTCTTTACAATCACTCTTTGATCCATGTCAAACAGTGACGCGGGAACAAACTCGAAACTGTAATACAGGGAGCTGCACATTAAATATGAACCGCTCAACTCATCACCATGGCAGACATCTTGTTCTAACAAGAGTCAACAGCCTTAATGAACAATGAGCCTTCCCCACTCTCTGATGCCCTCCTATGTCTAAGAAAAAAACCAAACACAAAGGAGCTAGTTCAAGCAGCTGAACACTCATGGGCAACCGGCCTATCGATTCATTCTTGTGTGATTGAATCCCGCGATGCCGGGCTTGTTGATGCTTTTGTACACTGGTAAGAATCCATTCCCATTTGAGATCCCAGCGTCTCTTGCATTGTGTTCGATACAGAATCTGGTTTCTCGATTGGATCGCTGTAGTCCTTTCCTTTTGCATCGATACTCAGATAATCAGTCAAGACTTTTTTTACGCCCAATCCACGCTGAGGAATCTTACCACTGGTGATGAATGGTGATCTGTCTCCCCTGAGAGGGCTAACTAGCTGTCCAGGTGAAAAGCTTGGTGTGGTGAAAGCTGTTTTGTATGGAGTGCTTGAGATGGGCACTGAGTATGGATTAGGAGTGCTCTTGTGTGAAATGATACTAACTTTGGAGATTGATGAGAACTGATCAGAATGGCGGGTCAGGTCATCTACATATAGCAGATCATCAATACGTGCCACAATGTTAAATGCCAGGCTCTCCAAAACCCGTGAGTAGCTCTCCAAGATGGATTTCCCAACATCCTAGACATATCAAATTCAACCAGTTAAGTACAAAGGAAAGAAGAAATTGAAAGCAAAAATGAGAACAAATTTTAGATTGGGACCAAGTTGGAACCTTATTGTACTGAATCTTGCTCATATCAAGGGCTGTCTGTGGAAGACCAGGGAAGCGTTGCCTCAAGCACATTAAGAGACTTTCTGCTCTTTCCGGAAGCAACTCCTTTTTCTCTGCATCAACCATCAGCTCCTTAACCATTTCCCATGATGACCTCGAACTAAATCTGGTTGCATTATTTGTGGGTTTTAAATTTGCTTTTTTGCGCCACAGATAGATTGAGGCCTCCACTCTGTTGGCAATCTCTATGGCTTGATGTTCAGAGGACAAATCAAGGCAATCAAGCAGACATTCAGGAGAGAATTGATCTGATGAAATGTATCGATAAATAAGATCCCCTAAGCTTGCTCTTCCATTCTGAAACCAAGTTAAAGCAAAAGTTTAGCACCACGCCTTTGTAATTACAAATCACTGGAACCTAGAGGATATTTCAAACCTTTGGAAGAGCTTCCAGATATGATTCCGGCACTTCCATATCTGCTAAAGTAATATTATTAATAGCCATGGCAGCTTTTAATATTTGGCTCGTGCAATCGCGTTTGTGCTGCAGTTGCTTTTTTGTGTTTTCATGGAGTCCACCAGGAGGAACTCGTGGCACAGGTAGCCACCACTTTTCCTCTTGACGCTGAAAGGCTCTTCGGAAAGAGGATGACCCATCAGCATCTGGGGCTAGAATCCCTTGGTCAACATACCAGAACTCTGTATTGACAAAACTATCTAATATTTCCTGCAAGGAATGGCTAAACTCAGAATGGAACTCATGAAACTGGATCTAAGTTGTAGAAGTGTCTGAGAAGCTTACAAGAAGCATGTTGTCCAATTTACGAAGGGCAGGGAGATTAACATAAAGATCTGAGCGGGGTCTGCAAGTCATGACCTGCATTGAAGTGTAAATGAGTAAGAACAATTTCAAGAAACTGATCATTTAGTACCTTCCTTAATCAACATTTTCATTGCCCTACACTATAGTTTCTTATCACAAAGCATCACAGCAGTTACATTAGTATAAAGGCTCCATGCCCATTTCAAGTTCACCATTTATAATGCAGCAAAATTAAAGATGGCATATGTTTCATCATTGCTATTTATACATTGGAATTGGTCACTTGACTCAGTATAATATAATTGCCGAAAGGGAGTGCATACTGAAAACTGAGAGACATTATACTGTTCCTAAAATCTATTGGACTCAGAATTTACCTCCAATTTGCTTCCATCAGGAAAAGTCTGCCAAGAAGGTATCAACTCAACAATGTGATCACTCACACAAAGAAGCCATTCCATCTCTCTTCGCCACATCAGTTTCTTCTCTTGGGGTAGAGGTTCTAGTCTCCAAAGTTGCCCAAATAAGGTAGCTACAAGAGAGAACAGAGAATAAGAAAAATAACCATCACCACAAATGAATCCATAACGAAATTTCCGTTAAGTAACAGATTAAATCAACCAATCTAGGTTTGAACACATTGAGATAGTAGACTAAAATTGCATACCACAAAGATTAGTAATGGCATTTGATATAGCCAATGCTGTACAAACCCCGTTTCCACAACCTGACATATCTTCTCCAAGCAACAATTTTGAAAACCTTTCCTTCATCAACTCAGTCTCTACAATCCCATAAAGCAAACATCAATTTTTATTAATAGGAAAAAGCATCAAATTGACATGTACCTCAAGTGTCTTAGTGTGAATGAAATAGAGATAATACCTGATATTGTTGACCCTTGTTTCTCTAAGTTCCTATCATCCAAATGGGTTCTCTCTGCTGCTTCACTACCGTTCTGACTGGTGCAATCTGATGCCTCAGCTTTCTGAATAGGCCAACCCAATGAGGGCGCCGAAGATGTCTCTTCATCAGAGCTACTGTGACTGTGTTCCTCATGGCCCGTCGTCTCAGATGTCAAAAATTCTGAACTTGAACTGCTTTCACGACCCTTCTCCTCAATCAAATCCCCAAAGGTTCCAACTTGACCCAAACATTCACCAAAGTCTTCTCTTTTCCCTTCAATAATGCCTTCATTTCTCTCAACCAAACCCTCCATTGCAGCTTTTCCTTCTTTAATAAAGCCAGGCGATTCGCAAAATGCAGAGTTATTCACTACCATACCATTGTACTGAAGCCTTCCCAAGCAACAGGAATTAGATATTCGAGCTCTGCAATGCAAGTTTCGAAGAAACTTTGATGCCCAAAACCCAAAAATAGAAAATGGGTTGTGGTTGTTGAAGCCTCTGAACCTCACAAATGGCAGACAAAGCTTGAGCTGTTGATTTTGTAGCTGCTGGGTTCTTTCTCTTTCCTCTTGGTGAGTGAAAGCTCTATCCATAAGGTCTCAACCATGTCGGATAGTGAAAGGCAGCTGCTAAAATATAGAAAACAAAATGGTGGATATTCTTGAAAGGAGCTTGCTTTATTTATATGAACATAAATGTGAAGCTAGTCATGATTAATGGAAGCTTGCTCAAACACATGAACAGCTAGAGAGAGACACACATTTGAAACTTGGAAGAGCGTAGCGTTG